TGTTGAGGTTGCTTTCCCAAGGCCCAGCCTCACACCCTGCTGCCTCCCTCGCCTCCTGCTCCCTCTCACATGCCCCTCGTCCTGGCTGCAGCCCAAGGCTGGCAGCGTCTTATCAATCCGCCCATTATGCTGGGGGTGGCCGGGCAGGCAGGGGGCAAAGTCCTCTGGGATCCGGAATAAAGGCATCTGGACGGCAGAGACTGTCACACAACTAGCTGGGAAGGGGCAGAGCGCTGCGGGGGGAGGCCCGGGTGTTCTGCCCTCTGTGGGAATGGCCCGGGAGGGAGGCCCTGGGCCTGAGGAAAAGGTGGTCTCAGGTTGACCTCTCCCCACCGCGGCCAGGGGTCCCCTCTCCACACCTGTGCTGAGTCTCTGGCCTGGTCAGCCCTGTGCCAGGCACCTGAAGGATACATAAAGCAAAAAGGCCGCCTTGGCCTCAGGATACGGTAAGAGATAAGGGCAAGGCCAAGAACAGAACAGTCTGTGAGGACGTGGGCAAGCGGCACGGAACGCACAGGCCCCAGGCTGGTGATTCAGGTCCTCGTGCCCGAGCCTGAGGGGAGAGAACCTGCAGGGGCAGGCCACCCCCCCACCACCACAGCCTTCTTGCTGGGGCTCAAGAGCTCTGTGTCCCAGCTCCTGTGGCAAGATGGCGCTGGCCTGACCCTGGCCCTTCCTGGGCCTCAGTTTTCCCATGTGAAGCACAGTGGGAGGACAAGGTGGTTTCTCTGAGCCATCACGGGCACTGCTCCAGCTGTTGGTCCTGCCCCCAGGCTTCCACTTGTCTGGGCCTGGGCCCCTGGGGTGAGGGAGCCCAGATGGCCCCTCCTGCCTAAGGTGGGCATGGGCCAGGTCTCCACCACTGGACAAGCTGCCAGCCTCCCAGCCTAGATCTCCAGGGCAGTCGCGCCTGAGGCCTGCCCAGCAGTTAGGTTCCACAAGGGGATGCGGGGTGGGGACACCCGAGCAGAGTCTGCAGAATGCCCAGGAGGGGCTGGTGGGGGCCTCGACTCCGGTGGGAAGGGTCTCTCTGAGGGTCTCCAGAGGCTCCACTTTACTTAGCTAGCAGGGCCGGGGTGATGACCTGTCCCCATTTCACAGGTAACAAATCACCCTCGCTAAGGTCCTCTGACCCTCAGGAAGCCTTTCTTGCCATTGTCCCCTAGAGGCTAAGGTGACAGTAGGCCCTCTGCTTCCCATTGTCCCTTGGGCTCTTCCTTGCCCCTAGCCTGGACCCTGAGCTTCAACGAGACAAGGGTGGCATCAGCCCCTTCTGGCTGCTGGCCCACAGCTCCCACCCAAAACACCACCGGGCTCTGGAACACTGGTGGAGGGAGGCCCAGCCCATCCTTGACCCACCAAGGGGGATCTTGCTGCCCTAGAGACAAGCCAGGCTGAGCCTCCGCCTCCCGCCTTTTGTAATGGCTAGGCGGCGCGCATGCTCACCAGAGAGAGAAGAAAGCTCCCTCCGTGAGGCGTGGTCATGCTACAACCCTTTCTCCTCCACGTCGTCCCACTACCATTTTGGACACACATGCGTACATGTGCCCTGTGCGGTTTTCTCGAGCTGTAGGGGCTGCAATTTGCACCGTGGCTGACCATGTGGATTCCAGCTCCCTTAACCACTAGGCCAAAGGGCCAGCCCTCATCTCCCAATCTGTAGCTCAAAGCTGCCCTGTGGGTGTGGGGGTTTTCCAGGGAAAGTGGGGGTGGGAGCCAGCCCTGGCAGCACTCCTGACAGTTAGTCTCCCCGGATTCCCTGCTCTGTCTCAACGCTGCCCCCTCCAGCTGGGTTCAGGGTCAACCTCCAGGGCCGGCACAAGGCCGCCTTTGTGTGCAGGGCAGATTCCGGCAGCTCCATGGCCTCTCCTTGGGAGGGCAGCCATCTGGACAGCTCGAAGCCCAGTCTGGGGACTGGAGCATGGGGACCCGCAGGCTGCCTAGGATTCAAGGAGAACTAGGAGCCTCCGAGAGCTCCAGGGTGAACGCTAGCTCCTCTTTCTGAGGGCTGGAGTGGGGGCAGGGGCCAGGGGGAGCCGAAGGGGACTGTGCATGGTGCTAGCCAGGTCCTGTGGACACAGTACGGCCATTAAGGGTCCCACCTCAGGGACCAGCAGTTGGTGTAATGGTTACGTCCCTGGACTCTCATGTAGTTGACTGCGGTCTGAGTCCTGGACCTGGTACCTTAAAACTCACACGAGGTGCATGTGTGTGTGGGTGCATGTGCACGCATGCCCAGGATCCCCAGAGGAGAATGGAGGAGAAGGAATTGCAACGTGGCCATCCACCCTAAGGGGTGAGTTCTCGCTTCCTGTCTCTGTCTTTCTGTCTCTCCAGCGATCACATGTGCCCTATAGCAAAAGTCTTTTTCTAAAATAAAAAGAAAGAAAGAAAGATAAAAGTTCCACCTTGCACTAGCTGTGAGACTGAGAAAAATCACTCAACCCCTCTGAGCTGTTTCTTCTGTCACAGGAGGATAATAAACGCACCTTCCCCGCTGCTGCTAGTGAAGACAATACAGCAAGAAAACAACAACATCCCTTAGCACAGGGCCCAGCACACGGGAAACGTCTAATAAATGTCTGCTTTATTCCCCCCCCCCTTTTTTTGAGAAGTTTTTGCTATAGGGTGCATGCACTCTGCACTCACCAGAAAGACAGAGAGAGACAGAGAGACAGAAAGCAAGAAATCACCCTCCAGGGGGGATGGCCACGCCGCAATTCCTTCTCCTCCATTCTCTTCTCGGAGTCCTGGGCACTCACATACATGTGCCCAGTGTGAGCTTAAGCCAGCAGGTCCAGGACTCAAACTACAGTTGACTACATGGGAGTCCAGCAACAAAGCCATTATGCCAACTGCTGGTCCCTTTCTTTTTTTCTCATCACTGTTTGCTCCTCTGCCCGGCCCCCAGGTAGATAGGATTACAGGTGCACACTCTTGTACCCCTCCCGTTCAGCTTGGTCTGGGATCAGAACCTGCCTTCCCATGTGTCCCCGCCTCACGCTGCAGCACCCTCTTGCCTGTGCTGCCACAGCAGAGCTGGACATCTGCTCCCCCTCCTCGAGAAGCAGGCTGCTGTAGGGAGGAGGGCTCACAAGGCCCCCTCCACACACACACACACACACACTTATCCCACAGGGCTCCACAGTCCAGATAAACTAGACTGCTGTGGCCTTGCCCCCATCCTGCCATTGCCTACGCAGTCCTTGCCCCCAGCAAATCCAGTGCCCTCCCCTGCTCCCAGCCGGTCAGCTGCTCTGACGACCCTGCTCCAGCCCTGTGATGGGCCCCTATCTGGGACATCTGCCCCTGTAAAACCTGCCCTGCTGCAGAGCTGCCTGCTGCCAGCCAATCAGATTAAGCAATCACAGCCCACAGGCTGGGGATTACTTGTTCTCCCTGGGATGCCAGACGTGTTTCTGGGGTTCCAGGGGACACTGAGCGTCCTGTCGCTCCCTTCCTGCTCTCGAGAGGACACCAATGCTGGCCTGAACTGACACGTGCTCTTCCAGCCCCCAGAGAAGGGAGCATGCAGTCTGCACCCAGCAAGCTGGTGGGACCCGCTGAGGGGGGCACGGCAGTCAGGGAGGTGCCCTGGCTCCTGGAGGATGGATGAGGGAGGTGCCGGGCCCAGCTGGCCCTGCTCCCGGTCCCTGGCCTCTTTCTTAGCCTTTCCAGTCACTTGTGGAAACTCGGGGTCCTCTCCTGGCCCAGTTGTTCTCTTTTATCTCTGAGAGGGGTGTGAGAGGGAATATCCGCCCCAGGAGCATCACAACCTCACCCGGCAAGAACCCTGCCAAGGCCGTGCCCAGACCCCTAGCCTGGGACAGAGACGGCTTGCTGAAGGCAGCGGAGGCCCAGCTGCAGGCAGAGCCTGGCACGTGCTCTCCATTCCCCAGGCGGCAGGGGAACCGAGCGAGGGTGAGCATCTCCCCTCGTCACGCCTCCGTTTTAAAATCTTTTTTTTTTTTTTCTCTTTTGAGAGATTTTTGCTATAGGACACATGCACTCACCGGAGAGACAGAGAAGAAGAAATCAACCCCCTGGGGGATGGCCATGCCGCAGTCCCTTCTACATTTTGTGCGCACATGTGCCCAGCATGAGATTTAAGCTGCCAGGTCCAGGCCTGGAACCGCAGTTGACTACATGGGAGTTCAGCAACGTAACCATTACACCATCTTTGGTCCCTTATCACGCCTCTTTCCTTTTTCTTTTTTTTGCTATAGGGCGCGTGCACTCGCCAAAAAGACAGAGACACAGAGACAGAAAGTGAGAAATCACCCCCCAGGGGGAATGGCTACACCGCAATCCCTTCTCCTCCATTCTCCTCTCGGGATCTTGGGCACGCACACACATGTGCCTGGTGTGTTTTAAGTCACTGGGTCCAGGATTTGAACCACGGTCGACTATGTGGAAGTGCAGCAACGTAACCATTACGCAAGGTGCTGGTCCAGTGTTTCCTTTGTTTTTAATTTCTGCTGTTGCTACAATGCTGTCTGCAGCCCAGGGAACAAATGCGATATTATTACTTTGTTATCATGGGTAACTGCAGGGCCAGCGACAACTGGCACAGGCACAATGATCTGCTGGGGAAGGACATAAAGAGACTGCGTGATGACTTCCCGAGCCTCCAGAACTACCCTGCCGGCCTCCTCCAGCTGCCAGCCCCAGGTAGCCGGGCCAAGGCCTGGAGCATTGCTTAGCCTCCTGGCCCTTGGCAACTCTGAGCTGGAGAGCTGAGGACCCCAGGCCTGGCCCTGGGTGAGGTCCTAGCCTTCTCCGTCTCTGGCCTCACTCCTTCCCAGCCCTCTCCCCCAACTCCCTCTCTGCACACCTGGCCCGGAACATGGCCCTGGCCAAGGAAACGGGTAGGTCTGTCCCTGAGAGTCTGCAGATCACACTCCTCTAGAGGTCAGGACTGTGGCTCCCCTCGGCCTCCCTCAGCATGCCCAGAGCAGCTCGGTCCCCTCTCCAGCCCGCCTCGCCCCCAGCTAGCTCACCTGGAGAATCCGGCTGGATATCCTTGACATTCTCCGGGGCTGCGAGCTTGAGAGTATGGCTTGGGGACTCTTTGGAGAGTGTCTGCCCATCAGTCAGGGAGCTGGCAGGGATGGCAGAAAGCATCGTTAGAACAAGGTGAAAGGCCTGGGCCCCGGGGTTCTGACCCAGCACACAGCTCAGCATCCCCAGGTGACACTGGCATCTTGGCCTCTTGCAGACTCCCAGGCTATCCACAGAGGGGGCTCCACTGGGGCTGGGCTAAGCCCCCCCAACACACACACACACACACACACACACACACACACACACACACACACACAC